AAAGTTACTTGAACACATTTAGTTTCATTCACCTTGATTCTCCATTTTACAAGCCACTCTTCAAACCTAGATGCCTGGATAAATTTTGTGAAGCTATAGTGCGGTCACGATCGGTACTGACTATAGCAGTGTCGTCAGCGAACGTTGTCAACGAATTGATTGAATATTGAGGAATGTCAGCTGTATAAATTAAGTGTAGAAGCGGTCCAAGGACGCTACTCTGAGGAACTCTAGCGTTGATGTCGTACTCTTGCGAAGTAAAAGATTTTTGTTTAACCCTATATTTGCGCTAAGTCACGTAGGATTTTAGAATTTTATGAACGTTTTTCGGAAGCGAGTACGTTATTTTAAATTAAAGTGCTCTAAGCCACACCTTATCAAATGCCTGCGCTGCATCAAGAAAAGTACAATATTTTCTTGAGTGTAAAGCTAAGTGTGTTTCATTAGCGTTTTTAAGAACCTGTTCAATTGTTCAATGCTCTTTGCGAAAACCAAATTGATGGTTAGGAACTAAATTTTCTATCGGTGATACTCAGATCATTTCCAGACTTCTGGATCATTTTTATCAACGATGTTTTCAAATGCGTCGGAAAGTACCCAAGAGACAGTATGATGTTAAAAATGGTGATACTGAAGATGATCGCTGTGTTCAGCAAATTTTTAATAATTTTACCATTTATTTGGTCTTTCCCAGGTACTTTTTTTGGGTTAATGTTAGTTATAATTTCTTTCAATTCCGAAAGCTCTATAATTGTAGAATTTTGTACGTCAGTTAGGCTCGCATTCATTGATTTGGGGATTTAGCTGAAAAATATTCCGCAGGTGTAGTTCCAAAGCAGTTTCTTTTTCTTCATCGCTACGAGCCCAGGACCAATCTTGTTTGCGGATAGTAGGTTCTCTTTGAATTGGGGCTTTACATTTCTTTGCAGCTTTCCATAAGGAATAATTATGCTCTTTTAATGAGCCAAGGCCTTCTAAATATTTTTTATTGAGTTGTGTCTTTCCTCATCAAGGGCTTTTTTCAGGGCTTTTGTCGCCATATAGAGGTTTAGTTTAGATCTGAGAGAACGGTATCTTTGCCAATCTCGTCTCGCATTACGTTTAGTAGAAATAAGCCTATTCAAGATCGATGGAAAAATTGTTTTTTTCGCATTATCTTGTTGGACAATAGTAGACTCAGCAGCCGCGTCAATCAGAGTTTTGTTAAATACATCAACAGTGTGCTCAATTTCATCGGTGTGTTGGGGTGCAGAAATTTCTGGAAGACTTCTTTCAACTTCTCTACCAAAGTTACGCCAGTTGACAAATGATTTAATATTGTAATTTTGACCTTCGGAAATATTTGTCAGTGTTAAGATCACCAGAGAATGATCTGAAGATGAATCATAAGATGGGTCAGCAGAGATATATTCCTTATTTAAACTCTTGATGACTCCAAAATCGATAAAATCAGAAGTTTTACTGGTATCGGTCGGCCAATAAGTGGGTTTTCAGATGATATAACTTGGAGTCCCTTATTTAGAGCCCAATAGAGTTGTCTTCCTCGTAGCGATATTAATCTGGAGCCACAGAAAATGTACTTGGAATTAAATGGAAGTATTTTGTAAAATGGTCAGTTGTTAGCGAAAATCTAGGCAGGCAATATAAGGGAGATAACACTAGCTTCATTCGAGTGATAAGTATACAAATAGTAGTGGCTTGAATATGTTTTTCGGAAAGTTGCTCTAGTCCATAATGTCGCATTGTGCTTCTGATAAAAATACCAGTACCACCATGTTCCTTGCCACCGGGGTGTTCCTATTATTAACATATAAAGATCTTCACATCTGGTGGCAGTATATGATATCAATTGATTGTTTGTGTTGTAACGAACTTTTTTCGTTCGTTACGTTTTGTTGGAGTGGCAAAGTGGTTGTCCAGGTTCGTTATAATAGAATTTATATCTTCGGGACTGAATTTTTTAGGAACCAAAATAAAAGCGTATCTTTATAATAATTTACCAATTTTATTTATTCTAATATATATATAAAAAAAACAATGGTTATAGACATTTAAGGGAAAAAAATAGTAATTCTTGGTAACTCCGACGTTCGCTTCTGATGTTTGTGTCTTCAGGGTAAATATAGGCGTGATTTTATGGAATCGTCGTACAGGCTTCCGTGGTTGACTTTGACGTTGAGGAGGTTCCTGACAGGACCGCGTTCTCTCCTGGGTTCCTTCTCTCCTTGCGGATGTTTTGTGTCAAGCAATTTGTCTGTGGGCTGAATGATCAAAATAATAATTAACGGAAAAGAGAAAATTAAATGAAATCAGTTTCCTACTTTGATCGAATTGACCAGTTAGACTGAAGTAGCCTGTAATCTAGTTTTGATCGAATTGACCAGTTTCCTATTTTTGATCGAATTGACCAGTTAGACTGAAGTAGCCTGTAATCTAGTTTTGATCGAATTGACCAGTTTCCTATTTTTGATCGAATTGACCAGTTAGACTGAAGTAGCCTGTAATCTAGTTTTGATCGAATTGACCAGTTTCCTATTTTTGATCGAATTGACCAGTTAGACTGAAGTAGCCTGTAATCTAGTTTTGATCGAATTGACCAGTGAACTTGTAAATCGCTTGAGCTCCAAGAGACAAGTTCCTCGTTCTGTAAAATGCGCGTTCTAATATACCGAATTTACCGGAGCTTTTCGCTGTAGCGTACCGGTAAACTTCGTTGTTCGTGTTGACTTTTTGTGCTTTTCGTGTCTTTCTTGTGTATTTTGTGTATTGTCGTGTACTTCGTGTTATTTGCATTTTTGCGCACTTTTCTTCGCCTGCCTTTGTTTTCGCCGCGATTACGTTTTGATTACTTCGCGTTTCTATTTTTTTTTTAAAAAATATAAAAACAAAATATAAAAATATATTTATAATTAAAATGAATATCAAAGTAATATGTGTCAAAATATAAGTGAGTGATTTAATAAATGTGGTAATAGAATTTTAATGCTACTGCATAAAATCAGTGCCGCTGTAATTGGGATTGTAGTTTGTTTCCTCCGTCGGTGGTTTGTTTATGTTTATAAAAAATATAATTTAGTAACGCAGTGATTTTGTTTTTTTTATTTCTTTTGTGTAAAATAAAAATAAAATAAACCAAAAATCAGAAGTATTGCTTGTGATATGTTTTTTTTGTTTATCGTAAAAAAACGTAACCAGTGAGTGTTTGAGTTGTTGGTTGATTCTATATATTTGTTTATTTTTTTTTCCTATTATCCATGTTTATTAAATAATAGTGCAAAAGATCTATGTTTATTAAATAAATGTGTTGTTTATTGTTTAGTAAATGTTCAATGTATGTTTTAAATTAAAATATGTAAATAAAATTCCAAATTCATTCATAAAATTCACTTTTGTTCATTGCTTCTTCTTTAGGTTTGTGCAGTTTACGGATCAATGCCCGCGGCTCATCAGGCTAGTGGATCACAGGTAATGTCTGTACAATTAAGTGACCAAATATATATTAATAAATTTCTTATTTTTCAGGTATTTTCGATGTAATATTTTGGAGGGTGAGTTGTTACTTATATTGTCTGATATAGTGCTGGTGTTGATTTTATGCTGACGGTCTGACGTCAGATTTGTAAAAGTACATGTATGGTTGAAATTGCTTTATGGAATTTCAGCCTTTACAATGTGATACACGATATACAACGCTATCGCCATGAGATCGAGCGTGTAAAAATAGTGAAAGTGGTCAATGCTTTATGTGACGCTGTGTCATGTGTTCGCCTAACAGTTGGTCCATCACACCCAACGCCACCCATTGTCTTATTATAAAAATTCACAATTTTCGGCTTGCCGTCCTCAAAAATCACGGCGTTAAAATGCATTGATGAAAATAGCCTTACAGCCTTGTTTTTTTTTTCGGAACGTAGGAACAGAGTAACATTTTTATGGAAAACAAATGCTGTGGAGCCCGTTGACTTGTTCTATTGTGCCTTTACCTCGTTTCAGATGTATGCTTTGTTCATTGTGATATTGCGCCCACTTCCTTTTTGCAAGATCTTATACAACGCGTCCTCTTACCTCGTTTTTGCACGGATTCGGCTTGACCGGTATAAATTTAAAGGGGAAAAGAGTTTTTAGCATCGCATGTCCATCAAACTTTGACCCCACATTTTGCAGGCTTTGATGAAATATATTGAGTGAAAGGCGTTCGTTTACGATATGGAAATAACTGTTTATCATAGTCCATAAGTCCAGGATTGGTGCAGCTTTATTATTCTGTATGCGTGCGGCCCATGTTTTTGCGTCATCAAACCTTATGAAACATAAAACATAACATAACATAAATTTTTTCTAATTTTTTTTTACTTAAAAAATTTTTACAACTTTCCTTTTCAATCACTAAACTGATCATGAAAGCAACATCATTTATTTGAAATTCTACTTAATACATTCATGTTCTAACATAATTTCTATTCACTGACTGCACAGAGACATCTTTTTATTTTAATTACAAACAAAACTTATAAAAGAGAAACAGTTTAAAAGACTCTTTGAGTAACAAATTAAACAAACAAAAGAAAAAAACAAACAATTGTATTTTAGTTGTAATATCACAAAAATTTAACACATTTTGTAAGTGATGTAAGTGGTTACACGGATACCCCGGATGTGTGTCTATGTAGTTCGTTTTGGGTATTTATGTCCTATCATTAAATTTAGTTTTCTTAATCGAAAATATTTTCGTTTTTTTGTTTTGTTTGATATAGCGGCAATAAAATTGAAATGGAAAGCTTTAATCTCAAAATAAAGTTTATACAGCGAAAATTTTTTTACGTGATCGGAAAAGTGTTATCAAACGTGAAAATATATAGAAAATCTTCTATATGACGACATATTAGGGCGCAATTTTGAGCGTTTTTTTTGTTAATGATACAGAAACAAAATAAAAGTCAGAGGAAAAGTAGTTTAAATATACATTAGTTTTATTAATTTTAAAATAATGCTATTAAATATAGTAATAAATAAACAAATAACAATTGCCTGTATTGGTTTCACAAAGTTAACAAAGTAGAATAAAAAATTTAGATTACATACTTTCAATATCAAAACATTGAATTATATTGATGATATTTTTGGAGAAGTTTTAGATAACGTAGTTTTCCTGGCTCTTATAAATGATGTGTAAATTATTATTGATCTGTCACTTGCATATCGTTTTCTTGTAGTAGTATGTTATGTGCCGCTAAGTTCATTTCTTCTGGCGTCATATCCAAAGCTTCTTGCATTTCACGTGTTGCATAACCCACAAATTCTGAATCGCAATATTTTCCAAGACCTTCAGCTACAAGAACCTTTAATTTAAATATATCTTTATTAAAATTTTTCTTTAATAAAAGCATTTCATTCGTACTTCTCCAATCAAACTTTCTGCCAATCCTACTATTTTATCCGAGGAAAGTGGTAATCGCTGCTTGTCCGGACTTACTGGAGTGGATCGTGTTCTAAGATTATTTCCTACATACGCACTTTGATGTTCACAACCTGAAATATAAAAAAATTTTATTAAAATCGACATGATTTTGAAAACATGAGTTTATAATTTAAAAAAAATACTGAGTCCTGTGAGTGCTATGTGATTTTAAATTCAAATTTAATAATATTTTGAATTTCTAAGTTAACATTTGTTGATTCAGATATATTTTAATTCAGTTGAAGCTAATATTATAACTCAAAAATCTATCATTTGTAATCTGCGTATAAAAGACATTTTTTTATATACATGATTTTCTTGAAATTTGGAAGCAAATTATTTGAAAATGGATTATGCGTAAACATTTTCAATACAATTGATCTGGAATTTATCGTCAAGAAAACACGCGTAAAATGTTTTTTATTTTTTACTTAAATATGTTGCATTTTGTAAGAGAGCTCTGTAACACCATCAAGTCTTCATTTGTTGCAACCCTGAAAGTTTTTCTATTGTGATATAAATAACGTATAAATCTTAGTTTATGCTAAGCTTTTAAAACTTTTTAACATAATACTGTATTAGTATGACAGTATCTTTTAATTATATCTATTGTATGAATAAGTATTTCGTAAACACTTTTTAGAATTTTATCCATATGTCTAGTATTAAAGAGAAGTAATATATAATATTTAAAGAAATAAATATAAAAAAAATTACGTATAAGTTCATATCAGTATTTTTTATTGATGCAGACAAAAATGTTAAGACATTTTTAAATAATTTTTTATTTTATTGACATTATTTGCAGTACAATATTTACAAATTTCTTCATCAAATACGAATTTATTTAAGTTACTAGAATAGGTGTTTTATTTTCAATGAAACTTAAAAACACAATTACCATATTCTTTAGGGCTTCTGCTCCGTATATACCTAAATTTTTTTTTTATTAAGAAAACTAACATGAAAAATATAGTATATGTATTGTGACTTTAATTGCATCTCAATTGAAATGCATTTCTTAAAACATTTGTTGATGTTTTACAATTATTTTCATTATCATTAGCGATAAATAAAGAGGCATTTAACTATGCAAATATGCAGTGAACTGTTGTAGAATTTATTTATTTCGCTATCAATGTTGTTTGGCATATTGCCGTGACACTTGTTAACTATTATGTTAAGATTTTAACAATAACAATGTGCAGAACGCGAAATGCCATTATTATCCAACTATACTATTAAAATTTAATTACCAACTGGAAATAAATCTAATGATTCACTTGAGGTAAGATTTACACGAACTTACAATATGTGACATGCAAATAATTCCATTAAATTTGGGTTTTCTTGTAGTTAGTTAAAAAAATACGACAGGTCCCAGATTATATTGATGACACTAGTGTACAAACAATTAAAAATTTTGTTTTCCAAATTTTTCGTAGAACTCGAAAATCCTGCCGTTTTCTTGTTATTTGCAAAAAACCCCTTTTTTCAACTTTTTCAATTTTCAATTAATGGGATTCCAACAGAGGTATTAAGATAAATTTTTGTTTTGATTGATGTTAAGACTTTGAACTAGTTGTTTTAATTGAAGGAAATTCTACGTTGTGCCGGCAATAGAAACTTCGTATATTGTGAACAACTTTTAGGAGTTCCCTCGAAATTTCCAGTTAACTGTTAACGAATGATTTCGTTAATTATTCCTATTTCCTGTCGTCATTGTTCCAAACAAATGGGTTATTTTTTCATATTTTATTCACAATTATGTAAAAAAAAAGTATTCTTACCAATAATTGTTCAGAATTATTATTAATTTTTGAAATTTCAACTTTAAATTTTATTATGTATTTTGCATATGCATAATTCTTTTACAAACCAGACAGATTTTGGCAAAAAATGACCTCATGATCTCCGATTTGAAATTTGTTGCGCTTTAAAGGTAATTCATTGAATTTTTATGAAATTGTTTAAACAATTACCATGTACCCAAAATATTCATTTTTTATATTTTATTTAGGTTTAGTTTTAAATTTTACAGCGAATTAAAAATTATCAGGAAACTATTATTTTTTAAAGTTTTTTAATATTGTTTTTTTCGCAAAACATATTTAGCACAAGCGTACTATATTTCCACTGAATGAATTTTCAAAGAATATACTACAAATATTCTTATATAATATTTATGATTTTGATTAGTAATAAAATTCTACATAAAACCCAAAAATTTCAGGACGATTTTGTCCTTAATTTTCTTTTAAAAATTTACTTATCCTTCATATCACACCAAACATATATACACGATTTTTCATTAAAAAAAAAAGGAATATGTCACACAAAGTTTTTTTTTTACTTTTGATTCAAATTAATATATAAATTCTACTTAAAAAATAAATATTTCCAGTGTGATATTCTTTTTCATATATGAATATGAAAACACTGACTGCATGTGCTAGTAAGCTGATAAATGACTTTAAAGATGTCCTGAAACTGAAAACATCAATCAACAACTTCTGGAGATCTTTGATGACAACAACATTGAAACCGTCACATACAAACAATGCGTGTTAAAGGACAGGTAGAGTTTTTAAAAGAATACAAAAAACAGCTTAGCAGAAAGTGAATGCATAGTTTTGTGTAATTTTACTGAAATTTATGCTTTTGTTGTTCAAAACACTGTTCAAAGTGTTCACTGAAATAATAATCAGGCAACAATTCATCCGTTTGCAATACAACACCGTGATAAAAATAAAAAACTACAAAAAAAAATTATGTCTGCATATGTGACTGTTTACTTCATATCACAACTACCGTAAATTTTTTCCAAAAATACGCTATCAAGTTCATTAAAAGAATTAGTACGGCTATAAAAAAAATTGTTTATTTTTCCGATGGATCGGGTTCACAATATAAAAATAAAAAGAATTTTATTAATTTAACTCATCACAAAATGGACATTTCGTTTGGAGACAGAATGGCACTTTTTCCCAACTTCACACGGCAAAGGACCATGCGACGGCTTAACTAGTACCTTAAAGAGGAATACTGCAAGAGCTAGTCTTCAACGAATACATAATCCAATCCAAACAAAATTATTAAAAAATTATTTAACTGGGCTAACGAATGTTTGCCAAATATGGTGTGCCATTTCTCAACATCAAGAGACTACAAAACAAAAGAAGAGAACACTAAATACCGCTTCGAAACAGCTACATCAAGTAGAGAGACATCAAAATATCACTGCTATATTCCGAATCCAAAAAAATATAAGTGAGGAAAATATTTTCTTTTTCAGACATTACAGATTGTGTATCAATAATGAAATTAGTATTAATAAAATCAATGTTAAAACTATTAAAATATATTTTGTTTATAGTTCGTTACAGTTTATTTCCTATAATCCTATAATTTCTGACCTGTGAAGAGTGTTTTTCCAACTATAGCATAATAACACCAAAGAAAGTAGGTGCAATTATGTGCTGCAATTATATAGGTAGTTCAGCTAGTGTGGGACTAAATTTTTTTTTTTTTTAGTTTATAAATTGTTTATTGAATCTTTTTAAGGACGAAACTAACAATAAGTGGATCAAATCTGAAAACTAAATTTATTTTTTCCCTTAGCCATTGATTTGGAAAAAAACTATCGAATTATTTTTAATAAGATAAGATTGAAAATTAAAATTAGAATTAAAATTAAAAATTAAAATTAATTTACATTCAATTCAATTAAATAAAATTCATAAAAATTTTTTTTTAATCAAATAAACATTTCTTAAATCAAAAAAATGATGTTCATGGTGAATTTCTTTTTTAGACGTTTGTGGTCTTTGTTCACTAGCAGCTTGTAAGCTGATTGGTTAGGATGATATTCTAACTTTAAGAGGTACTGACGGCTAAATCGAGCAGCTTCTTTTATTACTGTTGGTACGCCCAAGTCTCTATGAAGTTTAGCATTTTTTTAAACCACGGTGCACCTGTTATCATTATTAGAATTTTAGATTGCAGCCTTTGCAGATTTTCAATATTTGATGGCTATTTCCCACATATGAATTGCGTGGGTCCATATAAGTTTTATTATCGACTTGTATAGCAGAATTTTGTATTCAAGTGGTAGCTTAGATGACGTGATCATAAACCAATGCAATGAACTTAGTTTTATATTTATTTGTGTCTTTTTAGCCTTTATGTGTTTCTGCCAAGTTAAACATCTATCTAGATGTATCCCTAAATATTTTACATAGTCGCTCGAAGGTACTTTTTGCTCATTTATTGTAATATTGGGACAGTTTCCTGATCTTAGAGCAAATGTTACATGGGTACATTTTTGTTCATTGGCTTTGATACGCCATACTGATAACCATTGCTCGAGTTGGTGAACATGAACTTGAAGCATGCGTTGTGCGATAGGAGGGATTTTGTGTGCACTTAGTATTGCTGTATCGTCAGCAAATGTTGCAGTTAAACTGTTGTCCGAAGTTGGCATATCACTTGTATACAGTAGGTATAATAGCGGACTTATTGCACTTCCTTGAGGAACTCATGCTTTGATAGGACAAGGTTTGAACTAATTTTACTTAAGTAATTTTTTAACAAAAGATGAGCATTAGCTAGCATGAGTGTTGTAATTTTATGTATTAAGCTTTCATGCCATACTTTATCAAACGCTTGGGCTACATCTAACATATAAATATGGAAGTGCAGTGTTGTTTATTTTCAAATAAGTTTCTAACGAATGATACAATTCGATGCACTTGATCAATTGTAGTATGTTTAGCTCTGAAGCCGAATATTCCGGAATTATTTCGTTAGCTGAGAAAATTGGCATTATTTTTTGTTATTAGCAGAACTAAATAGTTTTTTAATTCTTCAATATAAGAAAAAAGATTTTAAAATGGTTTAATTATGTTGAAATTCGTTTCCTGAAAATTATTATTTCCCAGTTAAATTTAAGACTAAATCTAAATGAAATATAAAAAATGAATATTTTGGGTACATGTTTTGAGAAAAATTTATTTTTTAAATTTAACGGTTAATATTAGTATTTAAATATAAACAATTTTAATTGTTTAAACAATTTCTTAAAAATTCAATCAATTATCTTTTAAACGC